AAGAGTAGATGTAATAGGATTCAATTTAATTTTGAGGATGAGAAAGATCCATAAGCCTAGGGGGAAAAAAAGCCCTCTAATAGTGGTAATTTCTAGGTGGTGAGACGATGAGTAACTTTTTTTCCCCTCTCATATCTTTTTGTTATCTGAAAAAAAGTTTTCACACGCAAGATGTATTTCAGTTATAATCAGGAAAGCCAATAAAATCATTTGTATTTAGGGGAAAGAAAAGCTTGTTTATTGCAAAGTCTTGGCAAAAATCAATGAGGCCTGAACTAAAAATGATGGAAAGAGAAGAGAGAGTTGAAGGATTTTGAGAAGCTGACATTCCTGGGATTTGGTGAATGGCTGTGAGGGCGGAGGAAGGAGCCCAGGCTGACTGTGGGGTTTCTGCCCTTAGCGGGAGGGTGGTGTGGGTGTAAGGCAGCATTCTTAGAGGTGTTTGGGACTCAGTGATAGACAAAAACAGAACTTGCAGATTTGTGCAATTGAAAGGTCAATTTGACTTGATAAAAATTTGGAATTCTATTTTAAAAGAAGACAGCATTACTGCTTAATATAGTGTGTACTTCATTTATTAAGTAATTGGGGAGCTCCTGAAGGCAGAAACTCTGTAATCATCCAATTCCTAGCACATAACCTGGTTTGTAGAATGAGTACTCTAAAATGATTCTCGCTGAGTGAGGTTGTCAAGCTCATCTAATAGAATTTGTTTACACACACATTTACATGTGTGTGTGTGTGTGTGTGTGTGTGTGTGTGTGTATATATATATATATATATATATATATATATTCTTAAATATATCAAAGGACACATAATTGAGTATATTATGGGGGTACAGTGAGACATAGATATGTGTGTATATATACACACACATATATATGTCTATAAATATATATATATATATACACACACATATAGATATATATACACATAGACTGATAGTGTATATATGTGTGTGTGTGTGTGTGCATGTGTGTATATAATGATCAGATCAGAGTAATTGGTATGTCCATCATCTCGTATATTTACCAAGTCTTTGTGTTGGAAACACTCAAATCCCCTCTGCTAGTCATTTTTGAAATACACAATTTATTATTGCCTATCTTATTTGCCCTCCTGAAATTTAATAAGAATTTTGTCTTAAATCATTTTAAGGTCCCCACAAATGTTTAGCAAATTGGTTCTAGTTTGTAAAAGGTGGACCATAGTCCTGCATACATATGGCAGAGATTGCTCACAAAATTGTAATGCTTTGTATTACAACATGTGTAAACATATATGTATATACACATACATACACATAATAATTTTACATGTAGACAACTATCTACATATATATAGATATGTTCATATGCATTTTTTCTGTCTTATGCGTATTTTGTTCTACCTTATGAAATTATTTTCCATTAGAGCATGGTTTACTACTACAGTTCACAGTGTCCAAAAAATAAAATATTTTGACTACAAGGCTTTATATTAAAGTGGTGTCAGGATGTTGGAACCAGCCATTCTGGTTCTGAATCCCAGCACCATCACCCCTGCTAGCACGTAGCCTTGGGTAGTTTAAGTATCTCTCTGTTTTCTCACCTGAGCAAACATGTTATAGGATTTTTTTTTTGATAAAATGAAAGACTCACTATAACATTCTTAGCACAGAACTCAGATATAGTGAGAACTCAAATATCAGCTATATTTTCAATCCCTTTTGTTTATCTTCTGGGATGGACTGATTACAGAAAGTACAGGATTTCCTGCATCTCATTTATGATGGGATTTCTTTGATTTATCTTGAAATGTAAATATATACTCTCTGAAACCTTCCCAACACAACTAAAGTCTGTGTTCATCTTAAGGAAGAGCAAAAGAGAAAGCTTGGGCTGAGGTTGGATCTCCAGGGAAAGGTCATTCTAGGTAGCATCAGCCTGGATTTGTGGCTTTTAATGAATTGTAAGCAATGTGAAGAACGACTAGTATTGAGGCTGGGGTGCACTCTTCAGATGATACCAAGCCAGGTCCCAGCTGGTCAGCTCCCTACAAACAAAAGCAAGCCACACCTGGCCTGTGGAGAGTCCAAGCTAAGCAAACCCTTATGCTGATAAGGCTTAGCATCCGGTGACAAGTTCAGTATTACCTGGAAGGAGACAGAGGGCCTGGCTGATTACATGTGTAGTGCCCTTATAAACCTCTGTGATCCTGAACCACACATGTATGCAGATTGCTGCTCCTCATGTTGATGCCTCACAGTGGGAGGTGAGGGTTGAGAAAGAAAATATTTGGATGAAGTTGTAGACAGCTCATGTGTGTCATTTGTTCTTCCTGTAGGGTCCACATCAGTTTAGTACCAAATGATGTCAGTCACAAGAAAGCAAAAGCCTGCCATTCGTTACACATCTTTGGAATACATTACTAGGTACTTTCCTTCCCTGTCACCACTCATGCTATAATCTAGGGGAAGCTTTGACACAAAATTACACACACATATACACACACATATATATATATATTGTATATATATATTTTTTGTATATTATATATGCATTTTTTCTTGTGGTTTAATGTTCATTTCATTTTTGACTACACCTTCTATAGTATAACATGAAATAAGACCCACTAAGTATTTTGCACACTTGATTCTTTCTTTCCGAAGTTAACTACATAGGGACCGAATAACTGAAGTATCTCAAGAATAGCATTTACTTAGCATATATTTTTTTCTGGAAATAAAGAGCACAATTCCAAAGTTGAGAGTGTCAGATTCTAATTCAAAACTTCTAGAATAACAAAAGCTCTAGGAAGAAACTTGACAAGCTGCCTTAATGATGTTTAGGGTGAATACAGACGTTCTCTCTCTCCTTCCCCCATGCTTTTTCAAATCCTCTTCCTTCCCAGCTCCACAAAAAGAAAAAGGGGGATAAAAAAGAAGCCTTTGCCTCTTGTTGGCAGTAGAATTTATTCCATAATTTACTTTTTCAGCCAACTGCAGTCGTTGCCCTTGCCTCTGGGCACTTGTTCAAAAACACAGAAATGAAATAACAGATTGGCCAGACCGAGCACAACTCCCCAGTCACAACCCTATTATCTCCTCGTTCTGTCACCCCCATTAGGCAAAGGCCTGGGAGAAAGGATGGTGACAATGCGTATTTATGTAGCTCGCACATCTCTGCAGCTCTAGGCTTTCTGCAGGTGTCCCTCTTCCCCCTTGTTCCTCCCCATGCAGGACCACTGAGAATAGGTCTGGGGCAGCTGACCCCTAGGTCTGCACTGCAGCCACCTCTGTGTTTCTTCAAGGGCTCTGAGCCACCTTCCTATCTGGGAAAGGGTCTTCACCCTGAGAAAACCAGAGCCAGACCAAGGGACCCGCCTCTCCTGCTTGTGAACTGCCCACCTGTGAATGGACATGGTGGGAGCTGCAGTGTGTGGATTTTACTGAATCTCTGATCTATCTCAATTACCAGGAAAATTTGGTTTTGTAATATTTCTAACCATTCTCTTCAGGTCAGATCAAACAGCACATTGCTTCACTTAGTATGGTCTCTGCTGGGCCATCTCTGGAAAAAAAACAGAGATGTCTCTGAATAGGACAAAGGTAGAAGAGAGGAGGAGGGTCTCTGTTTAATCATGGCAGGATTATTTTCTGATTATTGCCTCCTGGGGAAATTCCTTGTAATATTATAGGCATGAGGTGCAAACATTGACTATGGGATCACTCCCCACTTGGGGAAATGTTAAAACAGGGAAGCTGTATAGGGCTGAGGATGTAGCTCATTGTTAGATTGTTGGCCTACCATGTGGGAGGCCCTGGGTTCCATCCCCAGTACTGCAAAAAGTAAATAAAAATAAATAAATTGTAGAGTCCATATAAGAGAGATCCACAGGAAAGCACTTTTTCTCTCTTTTGGAACAGTCTACCTTGTGGACACTGTTCATTTGTGATGGTTGATTTTTTGAACTGGTTTATTCTCTACCTTGTATTCTGTACAGTCCATGCACTTGTTCAATGTAGCCCCTTAATTACAGTCATTCATGATTTAATGAGGTATATTCTGAAAAATGTACCCTTGTTAGGTTATTGTATCATTATGGTTAGTTGGTATTAATGCAAAAATCACAGGGTACACTCTGTAAAAATTGAGATAGCGGTGATGTCACTATGCCTTATAAATCTTATGGAACTGCCTTCATATATGAGGTGTATTATTGACCAAAATGTCATTATACGGCACATAACTGTACTTTGATTAGTAATTCTAAGAGGAGGTGAAAATTTTGGGTTATACTTCTTGATTTTTGCCCCCAACCTCTTTTATGCAACTGGATAGTAAACACATCTGGAGTCAGATCAGATTTTATAAGAGTCCTACCCTGTTCAGAACCACCTATTCCCTGAGCATGGTAGTGCAAGCCTATAATCCCAGGAACTTGGGAGGCTGAAGCACGAGGATCGTGCAAATTCAAAACCAGCCTCGGCAACTTAGTGAGACGCTGTCTCAAAATAAAAAGTAAAAAGGACTGAGCATACAGCTCAGTGATAATGTGCCCCAGCGTTTTAATACCCAGTGTGCCTCCCACCCCCAGGAAAACAAAAAACAGAACCACCAATTCAGCCCTTGTCCCCTACAGATCTCTGTCCATTAAGAGGTGAAACCAGAAGGAGGGCCTCTCTGCCAGGAGACTAGCATTGTACTGAGAAAACGAGGAGAGCACACAGCTTAATGATTTTTAGACAGATGGATTTTCCCCTGAGAAGAGCAGGATTTGATTTAAATTAATCCACCCTGGAGAGAATTATTGCCATGTGTGGGTTCTGCCCAGGATATGTGGGAGAGGACAATTCCTCTCCCCTTCTAGGTGAGAAAGAACAGGGTGAAATGGAAGCCTCTGCTTAAGGGGGAGAGGGCTTGTTTTAAAGCTATAATTGCTTCTGCTGCTGCTGCTGCTGCTGATGATGATGATGATCAAATCCTAACCGCCCTGTCCTTTGCTTTCTACATCAGCTCACACCCCAGACAACAGTTTTCTGGGGTTTGTGGTCGAGCAGCACCTGAACTCCAGCGACATCCACCACATTAACGAAATCAAAAGGCAGAACCAGTCCCTTGTGTATGGCAAAGTGGATAGCTTCTGGAAGGTGAGTCAGCCTGTGTACATGTCGCTTTCTCTGAAGAGCAGCTTGTTGGGTAATTTAATTTAACTTTGATCCAGAGAGTAATCAAGCCAAGTGCCCAGGGCTTAATGGGATCTGCTTAGACGTAAACAAGAATGTTCAGGGGTTGTTTGCTGCAGTATTTGGGCATCTAACCAAGGATTTAGTTGGTCATCCATCCTTATAGCAGCTGTACAGCAGACCCTTTAACTCTGCAGGTCCAAAGTGACACCTTGTAGCTTCTTTCACAGTCAGCCAGTACCCGAGGGTTCCACATCCACACACTCAACCAACTTCAGATTGAATGTATTCTGGAAAAAAAAAAAATTGTGTCTGTACTGAAAATATACAGACATTTTTTTTCTTGTCATTCTCTTAACAATACAGAACAACAAGTATTTACATAGCATTTACATCATATTAAGTATTTTAAGTAATGTGGAGATGATTTATAGTGTATCGGAGGAAATATGTAGATTCTATGCAAATACTGTGCTATTTTATATAAGGTACTTAAGCATCCTCAGATTTTGTTATTCTTGAATGTCCTATAACCAATCTCTTGTGGATATAGAGGGAAAATGGTACTTGTTTCCAAGAGCAAGGGCTCCATGGGTGCAGATGTCTTTCTGAAGCTAGGCACTTCACAGAGACCCTTTGCCAACTGAGTTTTTGCCTCTGCCCTGTAAAAAAACAGTCAGTGAAGGTAGGCAGCTCCCTTTCCTGGGGAATGAGGCAGCTTCATGATCTTTGATTATGGTCAGTTCACACTTATCCTGGAAAGGTGGTTGGTAGGCAGCTTGCTCAGGGAGGCTGAATGAAACAGAGCTGAACCAGATGTTCCAAGAGCACCCAACTATTGGGCCCCAAAGGGTCTCCCTGCCCTCCTGAGATGATTTCCACAGTATACGTGAGGCAGGTACAATAATAGACAAACCAGACAGGGTGTGACTTGTTGATGGGCAATGCAAATTCTTTTATATGGCAAATTAGCCTCAGAAGACGAATGTCATAATTTTGAGGAATGTTTGTAAAGGGCAGAAATCTCCAGAACTTCAAAACATGATTGTTCTTAAATAAAACCCTTTACTGAAGGATCCATAAATTGTGGTTTCATGTTATCATGTCTCGGCTATCGAGGAAGTCAGAAATCCTGCAACTGAGGGAACACAGCTGTGCAGGGTGATGAGTCCCTTTTTTTTCTGACTCATGTTCAGAAAAGGAAAGGCAGTGTCCCACCCCTCAGCTCTGTAGTGCTAAGTATTGCAAAGGGACAATGAGTTTGGTCTGTTTCAAGGGACACTGATTTAATTCCAGATAAGGGAATTTGTTATACTAAACCAAGAATCTTGCTGTTTATAGTAGTTCCCAAATGGGGACAGTTTTACTCTGCCTCCCACCCCACCCCACCCCACATCCACCAGGGGGATATTTGGCAATGTCTGGAGATCATTTCAATTGTCACATCTAGGATGCATACTATAGCATCTAGTAGGTGGAGGCCAGGGATGCTGTAAACATCCTGCAATATACAGAGAAATACCTGCGTCAAATATCATTAGTGCCAGGACTACAAAGCTCTGGCTAGTAAATAAGAATTATTTCCTATGTCTATTACAGGTTGAACATTCCTAATCCAAAAATTTGAAATCCAACATGATTTTTGAGCTCTGACATGATGCTACAAGGTGTGTAAGATCCCACACCAGACCTCATGTGATGGGTCATAGTCAAAACTCTTGTGCACTAAAAACATTGTATAAAATTGCCTTCAGGTTGTATGTTCAAGGCATATATGAAAAGAAAATGGAACTTTGTGTTTTACATGTGTGTCCCATCTTTAAGATACTTCATCATAAATATGCAGATATTCTAAAATCTGGAAAAAAAAATCAAACACTCTCAGTTTCAAGTATTTCAGATTAAGGATACTCAACCCATATTCCCCACACTTTCTCCTCTCAAGTAAAATAAAATCAATCTAGATTTAGCTGGTTGAGATGCCCCTATTAATTTATATATCTTTGCTTCCCCTGTATCAAAACGTGCCCCATGTTGATGGTCATTTTGAGATGATTTTTCAGCTGAACTCTGGTTAAGAAGGGCATGTTGGGTGTTCTCATCCGCAGTGTGGTTGTAGCATGGGTGGATCACGGCACTGACTTTAGGAACAGCCAGCCTTTTAAAGGGTGCAACTATCTTCTCTGCAGCTGCTCAGAGAAAATAGCTTGTATGTCTGAGCAGGCTTGACCTTGAAATGATATCACTTCTGTTTTGGAACCAAATGCAGCCCCCTTCTGGGTGCCTCTGGCAGCGTTGTCTGTTTCCCTAGAAAAGCAAGACAATAGTTTGGTTGTGAAACCTTTTGGGTTGCCTGTTTGGGTTAAATTAATGCTACCACTAAAACCACGATGTCTTTGATGCCAGTCAGAATCCCAGAAGTGTTAACTATGTTGCTTAAATGATCAGTGACATGATTTAGAAATTCCTCTGTATTTTGACCTGTTAAAACTATGCAGGTGATCTGATCTTCCACATACCAGTGCCACCTAAGGATTACAAATGGCTTAGTGACACTGTGTCTACATTCATCTTTTCCTGAGTACTCAAAATCAAGGATGATGTTTCAATTTTATGACATCATTCCAGCATTCTGTGCCAAGAAAAGCCCCCCAAAAGATGAAAATACTTTAAAATTTTCACATGTATTCAAGACATCCTCTTCAACTTTTGAACACAGAATAAACATGGGAGACTTTAGGTTTGTTCTCAAAATATCCCCATCCCAGAGTATTTCATGAATATATACAGAAAACAGATGTGCCTTTTAAGAAAGATATGATTCCAACCACATTGCCAAAGCTGCGTTCAACCCCAGCTTTAGTGAGTGGGGGGCTTTGTAAATGTTTTTTCTCCATCCTGCAACCCTTTGCCTTAGAGATCTTCTGGAAAGGAAGTAAATTCTGTCGGTCCTGGGAGGTTTAGGGTTTGAGGTGGAAGAAGGCACAGTGTGGACCAGATGATTTTTGAAAGACTCACCTTCACCCTCAGGTTCTAGAACTCTCTGAATTCTGAAAGTGCCTGCCTCACTCTTACACCACCTTCCCTTTTGAGGGCATCTCCGAATCTACCCAGGCACTTGAGAGGGCATTGCCACCACGGGACTCCCTTCTAGCCGAGTCTGATTGCACCTACAAGTTATCCTGTAACCCAGGAAGTCCAGCTCACTGGTGTTTGGAATCATGATCCTGGCTCAGAAAACTGAGTCTTATGAGATTCTTGGGTTGGTGTTAGAATCAGAAGGACAGTGACAGTAGGCTATGGGGATAGAAATCCAAATGACAGAAATCCAGTTACCTGGCTGAAGTTGTGAGGCCAAGACAGAAAGTTTTCAGGAGTCCAGATGAGGAAGAAAGGACCCAGGCTGAAAGGAGAGGATGCTGTCAACAGGGTGATGAAGCCCATCCTAGGGAGGAACGTTACCACCATGGGAGAATGGTGTGCCTTGGGGAGATAGGCCGACAGATATAACCCCTGAAACCTGGGGATAAGAGGAAATCGCTTCCAGAGTTCCTGGAAACTTACTTTTTCCACATCACGAATGCCTTTCTAACGCTTCATTCCCTTTCAGTATTCAAGCACTTTCTGTTCTTTTTAGTCATATCAAAGGTATCTACTAAACTATGTAGGTCTTCCTGTATTCCAAACGCCTGTGCAGAAGCACAGTGTATTAATACAGAAGGCCAAGGAGCAGCCTCCCTCCACAGACACACATTCCTGTCTCTGTTATGGCTGAGGTTCCCAGTGGTCTTGTCCTGATGTTATATACATGATGGAAAAGTAGGTAGGGAGGAGAGAAGAAGGGAGCTTGCTACTGGACTATAGAATCCCAGAGGCACTAGAATAGGAAGCATCTCTTCCCAAGACCCTGAGCATCAGATGAGAGTAATTAAACCTAATCCCAACTGATGAAGGCACAGCTCTGGACTCTGGGCCTCTTCCTCTGGGATAGCCTGAGCACTAACTCTGGCAATTCCAGAAATGTGCCTAGAAGAAGCATTGTCTTTCCAGCTGTCCATGTTCAAAGATTTCCAACATCCTGCTACCTGAAGTCATCAGGGAATGGAAAAATCAGTCAATTTTTTTGAAAATATATAATTTGGAGGTACAGAAATTAAAATTAATTGAAGTCTTGCTTAACTGTTTTAATTTAATTTCTAGTTTTCTTTAAAATTAATATCCTGAGCATAACTGAGTCTTTGGACCGTGAGGCAGGGTCAGTGTTTTGCATGTTCATGGTCCCACCATGATGTTCTTAAGACTTACTAATATGTGATTGCTGCTGAAGCAAACATGCTGGAGACCTTGCTTTGACCACACAGGGAGAACAAGCTCAGCCCCCAAGTCACAAGCTGGTATTTAGACTCAAACAACTTATCGTATGTGAGGTACTTAACCTTCTTGATCTGTGATGTGGGTCAGTAACAACTACCATGCAGCGGAGCGCTTCCCATCATAACAGTATATACAGATCACCTGGAGTCTTGAGGAAATGCAGGTTCTGGTTCGAACCTTCAGGGTGAGAAGAAGACCCTGCGTTCTCAGGAGCACACAGGTGACAGAGATGTGCTGTTGGCAAAGCCCATTTCTAGGAGAAAGGTCTGGAGTGCTTGGGATTCTGTAGAGCGCTGGGCCTCACATAGCTAGCTGACCAGTCTTCTTGGGACTTTTCTGCTATGTTTTTCAGCCTATCATCTCTCCTGTCACTTTTTACTGCTCTTAGTGCAGTGGACTGATTCCAGTCATCCTAATCTCACTTCTCATAAGCATATTTACAAACCTGGCTACTTCTGGTCCCTGCTGCCTGGCCCTTAGAATGGGATGAGCCTGTGGTAGGTGGTGGACTCTCAGAGGTGAGAGAGGCACACTGTGTCCACTGTGCTCTGCTGTCCTGGTGTGTATGTTCATGTGTATGCTGGGCAGTG